TTTTTTTTTTTTTTTTTTTTTTCTGTTTTTTTTTTTTGTTCCGCAATAGAAAACAACAATGCCCCCAAAACAAATATGGGCATGTAAGGTTTTTTTAGCCCTACACGCCCATTTATATATATATTTTTTCATGTGTTAGAAAATAAAATAAAAATCCTGCACCGAACTTGGCTGGTGGGCCGAGGCCGAACCTGGCCGATTTGGCCGTCGGCCAAGGCCGCGACCGATTTCCCCCCCCCCGACCGCGGCCGGGCGTGCAACATAGGTGTTTTCCCCATGTTATAAAACACTTAGAGAGAAACAGTGCGAACGTCCATATTGTCAAATTACGTCTTTAACAACTTATAGATGTCCACCTTATTGTAGCAGGCGGGCAATCTCAAAACCACTCTCGATTCTTCATTTCAATAGAAAATTTTTCCAGAATTAAATAATCATTCTAGAGTAAAATTACATTCTAAATTTCAAATTTTCATTCCATCTTAAAAAATGTCATTCCAATATTAAAATTTTCCGTCTTACTTGAAAAGTTTCCTTCCAAGAATGGGGTATCCCTTCTTATTTGAACTGCATGCTAGAGATGGAATGAAAGTCTGGAYGAGTTCATGAAATATTTTAATCGGAATGTCATTCTAAGTAAGGATTTTCGGTCATAAATAGGTTAATCCAATCTAAATTAGACGATATTTGTTGTAATAGAATGAAAATATAATTAAAACATTTCATAAACTCGTCCAGACTTTCATTCCATCTTGAACAAATGGATATAGTTAGAAGGGAAAACTCATATTTAGACGGGAACTTATTAAATTAAATTGGAAATTTTAGAATTGGACAAACATTGAAATGATAATTTATAAATATGAAGGAGTTTTTTTTTATGGAATGTTTTTTCAACTTTCATTTATCATGGGAATTTTTCTGTTGTTCTCGTCTTCATATCGTTGGGCATGGAATCTCTGTTTTCACTTATAAATGATTTCAGTTTACCATACATTGCTGCATAGGTAGCAAATGTGCGTTTGAGTCTTGTGCTGCCATGCTTTAGCATGACATGACTTTTCTACAAGGTCATCCGTTTCTTTATAAATGTATTTCTACATACGCCTAACGTGAAGCACAATGCACTGATGTACACCTTTCGTTTCCTCACAATGGATTGCACAATCTCCTTGCTGTCTTGTACGAATGTAAAACTTTTCAAAGTCTCAATCTACCACGCTTCTCTACTTTTGTGGTCCTTGGAGTAATATGCGCTTCAAACAACTTTGATGTCATCTAATGTCGTGTGTGCACAACACTCTCGTCTACAACAATCTTTACTACAAACGCATGATAACAGTTTCCAGGTCAATTTCTGGTGAACGGACTCTAAAGCATTGCTTGATCTCGCCGTTCTTTTTTCGATAAGTATACGAACACTTTTCCGATGACAATCTCACTTTTCCGAACACATCATCAAAATTTGAAACAAGGTCGCCACTTTCGTCATGATTTCGACAAGAATGGTTGGAGCTGCTGTTGTCGTCACTGCCTAGATGACTGTCTTTATCGGGAGAACTATCGACACTAGAACCAATTGAAGCACTTGAGCGCCAACCATCCTCTTCCCTTTCCTCGCATGACTTCAATTCTTCTTCGGCGAGTCGAAAGTCAAGAGAATTATGGAGAGTGTCGTGTTTGGGATCCCGGAGTGAATTTCTGGGCACTCAAAGTATACGGTCTACATCGGATGTGGACCTGTTAGCGTGACAAACATCAACATTATGACCCACATTATCGGATTGGGGTGACGTCGGCAGTCGTGGGCATCAAACGGCAGGGGAACTACTCTCGCAAGTAGCAGCGTCGAATTCACTTTCTCTCATCCTTTTACGAACAGGTGAGTCGGGAGGCAGATATTGTGACAAATTATATGTTCGGAACCAGGAGAGTACATAGCAAGGTCTTGCATATCCGCATGACAATTCTCATTCAATAACGTATTAGATGCCACACAGTCCATACTTGTCAACGCTGCATATTCAGCTTGCCGATATGAAATGTCGCAAGGCATATGAGTCTTTGAGGACAAATGAGTGAATTAACATTCAAGGCGCGACCATGTTATTGTTGGGACGAACATAACAAAGCATTATTGTTCATCAATTGCATGACTCAGTGAGTGAATGGAGAAATAACGAAGTTGGGGAAAATGGGTACAACAAATACGAAAAACTGAGAAAAACAAGCAGTCTTAGAAATCCATAACAACACGGTTGCCAAAAGTGTCGCTGCACACCCATTTCATCAACATCGGTACATAAACGTGGGTACATAAAATTAAGGAACCCGTTCCTCTACTTTGATTGGTTCAAGAGACCGTTTTTGTGTTCACATGATGAGTAATCGGAATCAGTTTCCGTAATGGTCGTCTGCTCCCTGCCTTGGCAACGAGATGTTGTCATATGTGCCCGAGCGGCCTTCTCAACCCCCCCCCCCCGTCTTTCACGCCGTTGGTCCCCGACCTTGACCTCTTGCTCTCTGTCTGCTTGTTATTCCCTCGAGGTGGGGTTGGAGGCGGCAGCAGCTCCGCGAGTGTGTGCGACACCTGGAAACGAACTCACCGTCATCATCTCGAGGACATCGGATGGCAATGTCATGTCGAGCATCCGGAATCTTCATGGTATACTTGTCGGGCATCCACAACCGTCTTCGTGTCGAACATGACGACTTTGGAAGGCCTTCAATTCTTCAGCTTTCCTGAGACACAACATCAGCATGCTGTCGAGACTGCACGTCGTTGAAAACCTTCTGTATGTGTCAAACAATCGGCCCTCCAGTATATGCCAAACAGTCGGCCGTCCAAAGTCTGGACCACCAAATGCATTCTTGTAGGGGACAAGCGATAGTTTCCCCATACGCGTGTCCCCTATGCACTGAACACCACGAGACAATGTTTTAGAAGCAATGCCACCCGTGTGCTTTCATAATGCGATGTCCTACGGTGCTAGGCACTCGATAGGGTGAGGAAGACTTGAGTTTTAGGACTTGATGACCATGCACAAGTTTCGTAAACACTCGTCGCAATTTGTGATTCATCACCGTCCGTATGTTTGAAACAGTCAGTGGTCGTCTAGTGACTCTAGTCGGATGCCCGATGCACCATTGTGGAGACCAGACCACGGATTGGTCGGGCGGACACTTTTAGAGGCGGCGACTCTTATTGTCTGACGCCTGTCTCCAGCATTCAGTTGCGTTTGTGGTCCTGTTGTACCACAAGCCGTGATATCTTTTTGTCAACGATAGCTATGTGTAATGGAGCGTCGACCGCAGGATATTAACGGGCCCGAGGACGAAGTTTGGTTATCGTTCGAAGTGCGCGCTTAGTGCGTTGTGCAAGCTGTGTAAAAGATGGTTGAACCCTTATTGCCATTCATAACTTTATCGTTCATTCATGAGCAGTTTGTCATGTCAGTGACGATCATCGTTGTTTAACACACCACGAGTGGCACGACACGACAACTGTTGGCATTCCTCTTGGGTGCACAACCACCACATGCAGGTTGTCGTGTTGGACAACAACACCAATGCATGCGAAGAGGTTGAGTCTTTGCGTTGCACACCATGACAGCGGCATTCATGGGTTGTATGGGCACCTTGTCCAGCCAGTTATCGGGTCGGACACGACGACAACATCATGGACACGAATACCGTTGGCATGTTTAACACGGATCAATGTTCATCGTGTTGAACACGAGCACTTTGGAAGGCCCCCAGTTCTTGAGCTTTCCCGACTCACAACATCCGCTTGTTATCGTGACTATTTGTCGTTAAGAACCTTCACTATGTGCCAAACAGTCGGTCGTCCGAAGTCCAGACCACCAAAATCACTCTTGTGGGGAACACGCGATAGCTTTCCGAGACGGAGGTTGAACACAGATCAGTCACCACGGATGGCATGACACGACCTGCCTGGGGGAGTGATTTTGTGGTTATCGTGTCGGATATGAGTACCAATGTGTGCCCTAAGTTTGAGTCTTCCTGTTGGACACGATGACCGTCGGAGAGGCGTTCGCGTGGCACACCACGAGAGCTGGATTAACGGGTTTATGGCCACTTTACCCCGACTGGTTATCGGGTTGGACACGACAACCACATCATAGATATGATCACCGGTGCCAGGGTGAACACAAACCATGCATCACGGTTG